GTGTCCTGTCGCCAGACTGGTGTAAAGATCGTGATCTCTTGCAGTGTCCTGTCGCCAGACTGGTGTAAAGATCGTGATGTCTTGCAGTGTCCTGTCGCCAGACTGGTGTAAAGATCATGATGTCTTGCAGTGTCCTGTCGCCAGACTGGTGTAAAGATCATGATGTCTTGCAGTGTCCTGTCGCCAGACTGGTGTAAAGATCATGATGTTATGCAGTGTCCTGTCGCCAGACTGGTGTAAAGATCATGATCTCTTGCAGTGTCCTGTCGCCAGACTGGTGTAAAGATCATGATCTCTTGCAGTGCCCTGTCGCCAGACTGGTGTAAAGATCATGATCTCTTGCAGTGTCCTGTCGCCAGACTGGTGTAAAGATCATGATGTCTTGCAGTGTCCTGTCGCCAGACTGGTGTAAAGATCATGATCTCTTGCAGTGTCCTGTCGCCAGACTGGTGTAAAGATCGTGATGTCTTGCAGTGTCCTGTCGCCAGACTGGTGTAAAGATCGTGATGTCTTGCAGTGTCCTGTCGCAAGACTGGTGTAAAGATCATGATGTCTTGCAGTGTCCTGTCGCCAGACTGGTGTAAAGATCATGATGTCTTGCAGTGTCCTGTCGCCAGACTGGTGTAAAGATCATGATGTCTTGCAGTGTCCTGTCGCCAGACTGGTGTAAAGATCATGATCTCTTGCAGTGTCCTGTCGCCAGACTGGTGTAAAGATCATGATCTCTTGCAGTGCCCTGTTGCCAGACTGGTGTAAAGATCATGATCTCTTGCAGTGTCCTGTCGCCAGACTGGTGTAAAGATCATGATGTCTTGCAGTGTCCTGTCGCCAGACTGGTGTAAAGATCATGATCTCTTGCAGTGTCCTGTCGCCAGACTGGTGTAAAGATCATGATCTCTTGCAGTGTCCTGTTGCCAGACTGGTGTAAAGATCATGATCTCTTGCAGTGTCCTGTCGCCAGACTGGTGTAAAGATCATGATCTCTTGCAGTGTCCTGTTGCCAGACTGGTGTAAAGATCATGATCTCTTGTAGTGTCCTGTCGCCAGACTGGTGAAGGGACCTGTTCCATACAATCTCAGTTGACACTTTGAGAAGATGTGGTGCTAAACTCACTACCTTGGTATGTGTGCTTTGACACATTGACACCTCTGCATTTACACCCATCATGCATTGGTACATGAAGTGATGCATACTAATGATTTAGTTTTCATGCAGGTCCCACTCTCAGGTATTATGCTTTATTCTTCCTCAGTTTGGTAATACAGTTGTAGTGGCGGAGAAGATAGACAACCATTCTTTGCCTACACTACATATTGAGCAGCCATTATAGTGTTCCTTTGCATATATTTCTTCAGTGGGAAATAGAGAGAGAGAGTCCCAAACATTCCAATGGATTTGAGGAAAATATTCTAATTTTCATTTATATCCTTTTTCTCCAGAGCTTTGTTCATGGAGCCAACCTTGCTCATGTTGGATGAACCTACGAATCATTTGGACTTGAACGCTGTCATCTGGCTTGACAGGTAAGCACGTGATGCTGCATCTTATCATATTGTAGTGGAGCCTGCCTGGTTAGTCACCTGGAAATTGAGCACACTTTTTTCCAGTCCCATGGAAAACTTACCCATGCAGTTTTTAACCTCCAGTATGAGAGCTTGAAATGAGAGTGCTTTGGAAAAGATGGCAGTTTAGGCCTCCCCCTTGGGTGTGTGCATTTCTTAGGTTCGAATCCACTATACCGGTTTTGAGTGCAAGCTGAAAGCAGGAGCTGTGTGCTCTTCAGTACCTCTCATGAACTGACATGTCAATTGTCTAGGTCTGCCTGTACCTCTACTGCAGTACATTGTACTTGTTGTTAGTATGACAGCATGAAACAAGGTGGAGGACACTGTGTTCGGAAACAGTGTCCTCCACCTTGTTTCATGCTGTCAAACTAACAACATATGTGAACTATAACAAGGTTTATCTAATACTAGTATTGTACTAGTATTGGGTTATATAATGCATCGTACTTGTACAGTGCACAGTGTGTATTTCATGAGAATACAGGGTCAATACTGTCGCTTGAGTTGTTTACTGAATCATTGATGCTCATTGACATTGCTTTGAATCACTAGTATGCTAATGTTAATTAATGTTTCTGTATGGTGTTTGTTGTCATGCAGCTATTTGCAGAATTGGAAGAAAACTCTACTCATTGTTTCTCACGACCAAGATTTCTTGAACAATGTTTGCAGTGATATCATCCACTTGGGTAAGATATTACAAGTAATAGCAGCCGTTTACTGTACTGTTGGCTCTCTGGTGTGTGCATGGTAGCATGTAGCTGTTGGTTGTTGCATGCCCTGCTGTTCCTTTCGCGTTTAATGGCCACACATACTGTTCTTGTTACCACTTTGAAATTTTCGTTCTGCCGGCATTCTTTGTTGTGTGTAGATGCACAAAAGTTGTTCTACTATCGTGGAAACTTCAGTAAGTTGTTTGACGTGTGGCGTGTGCCTTGTCATTTTTGGGTTTAAGTGCCCATGGTCTTCAATGTGCATTCATATTCCACGGCTGTTTGGGGTGCGACATTAGGCAAAATGGCGTCTATTCCTTTTTGCACTGTACTCTACGTCAAAATCCCTTAACATGTAGACGCTGAGCTTTGCGGCCAGGCTTCGCATACTTTGTGAGCAGGAATCATTCAAAATTAATCGAGTGAAAAGATGAAGTTTGAAGCAGTCGTTTCATTCTCTGACAGTAATAGACGGTCCTGTTCGGTGTTGTTGTCTGGCCTTGTCTTGCCGGCCAGCTTTGAGCAATTCATGAGATCGAGCTGATGCCAAATCAATGACAGACGTGGCAAAATCGCCAAACTGTGAATTTGAGTTAAATAAAAAGTGATTGAGAACGATAATGGATACATCACCTGTTCGCCTTTGCTGACGATAGCAGGTGCTCCAGTTCGTTGTTAGTTTTCTGTTCTTTACCCGCGAGCAAGCTGGTGGCAGTTTGTTTACTTGAACTGACGCCAACTCACTCACCAACCACCCGCGATGAACGCACTAAGCTGAAAATTGAGTTGAGCAAACAATTGCATGTAGGTGTATGTTTCTTGCTGCGTGCATGCATGCGTGGGTGTGTGTGTATTTATTTCCGCTCGAAGTACTAGTGCCCCATATGCTTGTGTTTCAATGTCTGTACTAACACTTTTGTTGATGTATGTACTTGTAGATGCCTTCAAGAAGATGTACTCTCAGAAGCTGAAGGAAAGGGAGAGGGAGTATGCCATGCAGGTAAGAATTCAGGACTGCTGTATGCAGTGTGTAGTGTGCAGCGATTGTATTTCTCGCTGGAGGTGCAGTTTGGGGTGGAATTGCAGTTGTGGCTGGTGCTGTAGTTGTGGCTGGAACTGTAGTTGTGACTGGTGGTGCAGTCTGAGTTACAGTTGTGCATTTGTAATGGCATACTGGTGCGTAGACCTACTAGGAGTGGCGTACTAATGCGTAGACCTGCTAGGTGCCCTATCCTTGCCGGTGGACTTAGATATCTCCTACCCTTGCCTGTGGACTTAGGTATCTCCTACCCTTGCCTACAGACTTAGATATCTCCTACCCTTGCCTACGGACTCGTATAGCACTTTTGAATCCTCTGCCATGCTTCATCCAGTCAGTGATTCAGAACGTTGAGCTGCCGTAGTGATTTGACGAGAGAGCTTGGAAGCTCAGGGCCCTACGCTATGCTTTTTTGCCTTGATGACCTAGACAAAAAAAAAGCATAGGGATGTTATAAATTCTTTAAAAAATTCCTTTTTTTTAGACATAACCTGGGATTCGAACCCGCACTATCGCGCGCCCTGCATTCATCCCCCGATGCACTTCGCATACATACTAATTCTTCCAAGTTGTTTCACATTGTGATCTTGCATTTGAAAGCCCTATTTGAGTTATATGCATTGTGGCCAGCCGTCTTTGATGGCACGGTACGGTAGGGGATAGGGACGGGACAGGTACAATCGAGGGTAATACGACACCGTCTCCCGTACCGTACCGTACCATCAAACACAGCTGGCCACATACAGCTTCCCGCAATATTCAAATAGGGCTTTCAAACGCAAGATAATAACGTAACGCAACTTGGAAGAATGGGTATGAATGCGAAGTGTATGGGGGAATGCATGTAGGGCGATAGTGCGGGTTCGAATCCCAGGATATGCCTGAAAAAAAGGAGAATTGAAAAATTTATAACATCCTATGCTTTTTTGCCGTCAGATACGGATAGCGCCAGGCGTGACACAAACAAACACACAAACAAACACCAAATTAAAGCTGTGTGGACCCTGGCTAGCGCCAGATGTTACTGAAGTAACGTCTTCTGCATAGCTACGGGAATTAAAGTGTTTGTGATGTAGTAAAATGTATTGTTTTGCTACGCTGCTACTAGGCCAAACTCCCATGTACATGTTTTGCACATGCCATTGGCTTCTGTGTGTTTGCGAGGTTTGTAGTTTTTAAGATTAACTTTTGGATCCCTCTATTTCTCCTCTTTGTCATATGGTTGTGTTTTGACTTCCACTGTGGGTTAACAAGTGTTGAATGTCCGTATCATATCTCTCTGTACAGGAGAAGAAGATAAAGGAAGCCAAAGCAAAGGGTGCCAATAAGCAGGCTGCTGTAAGTGTGTTGCATTTCTGTGTTTTATTTGTCGTTTGCATGTTTGTATCGGACAATCTTTAATACAGCATTGCACTTATTGAAAAATCATCATGGTGATGTCGCTTTGCTGATTTCTTCTGTGAACGGTATTTTGCGAGTTCGCATCCTTCTTAGCGGTGTACATCACTTTGCACTAACCGTCTGTGGACTCTACTTTAGACTATTGACTTGAGAACCAGCGACAGCGAAGTATAAAGTTGTCTCCATGTAGCCCAGCTATTACGGTTCTCTTATTGGTCTTTCTGCTGGCAAGATAGCTTCTTCTTGCAGCAGGGTTTCATCTTGTTTTCTATGCAGTTCCTTTTGTGTACTTGAGTACTTCCACCTTGTTAAAAAATAATTAAAAAAATACTTTATCTCTCCCTAATGAGGACATCTCCAAGCTATGTGTGTCGCATGTGTGTTGTGTATGTGTTACATGCATGTTGCATATGTAGGCTGACAGGACCAAGAAGGCTATGGGTAAACGTAATGAGAAGAAAGGCAAAGGTGGTGGTGGTGATGATGATGGCCCCGCAGAATTGATGGAGCGACCAAGAGAGTACAAAGTCAAGTTCTCCTTTCCCAACCCTCCACCACTCAATCCCCCTGTTTTGGGTCTTCATGGTAAGTAGTGGGTAGTGATACCTTTGCTCACTTTCTTGCTGACCATTGCTGTATTAGATAGTGCCTATATCCCCAAGCAAGAACTACTGTAAAACCGGAAAGTCTAACGTTCTGACGACCAATTTTTTTCGTTATTTGAAGAAAGGTTATTGCGAACCCGGTTTGAAATGTCTGTTTAAAGATGCGCATACAGATGGGTGGCCAGGTAGCCTTCGTTAAACTTTCTGCACGTTATCATGCCAAAATTACAGAAGCGTTAAAAAATTTAGTCGTTAAACTTTCCGGTTTTACAGTATTTGGTAATCTCGCTAATGTTACAGCTCCTAGTACTTCATCTCCGTGGTGTACTGCCAGGCTTATGTCACTGACATCTCGAGGTTTGACAAACATGAGTTGGATCTTGCTATAGTTTAGAAGAATCGTAATCTCGTTCAGCCAGGTATGTCAGCCAGTGTCAGACAGCATTACTTTGTGCAAGAGGCTTGTGCTCGCGTGGGTAGATGACAGGATACCAGAATTGGCCTGGCTCCAAGCACTAGCAGAAGGTGCAGCCGGGGAAACAAGGCCCACATCCCCTGGCACCCCGTTCTCCATGCGCGGTAGATGGCTGGTTGATCTGACAGAGTCTCCGGCGTTATGCATGCTGATCAAACCTTGGTTAGCACTTGGATATGTTCACACCTTAGTATTTGCTAGACCTGCATAGTGCATACCTTATACATGTATCTAGTACTACTAGTGGTGGATGTCCAGACAACTACTTCAGTTCTCTGGTCTGTAACTATATTCATCAGCGTAGATTCGGGCAGCGCAGAAACAATTTGCGTTAATGATGAATGCACAACCGACAGACGCCGAGCAAAATTACCGTGTGACTTTGGTGGTGTGTGTGCATGCGTGTTTGGGGGAGGGGAGGGAGGTCTGTGTCTCACTGTCTTGCCTGCTTCAACAATTTATTTGGTTGTTGATGTTGATGTGTTGATTTGTTGTAATATAAACAGACACAACTTTCAAGTATGAGACGCAAGATCACATTTTGTTCAAGAAGCTCAACTTTGGTATCGACATGGCTTCTCGTGGTGAGTGCCATCGTTGGTACCAGTTATTATGTTGGCAGAATGTTGCACATCTACCAACACCTACTGGTTAACTCAAGGTTTTCTCATGGCTTACTGTAACTCAATATGTGCTCAATATACATGTGCATACTAGAAAAAGTAGGAATGCTGCCAGAAAGTACTTTGATTGCAGTGAGCTACTCTGGGCTATCTGCAGTCCACATGCACATGCGGAAGATTCTGATCCTAAGCAAAGTGCTGGGATAGAGGACTCTATTGACGGATAGAGGCTTCCATTACTCATACAAGCACCCGGTTGAACCGGCTTTTAGTGATTGGTTCATTCGCTTCTGCACAGATGTGGTGACGTGGATTTGTGTCTGTCTGAAAATCTGACCACATCACGAACTCAGTAGAGTCAGACATGATTAATTTTGTTGGTCATCCATTCACAGATTGCATCTGTGTGTCTGTGTGTGTTTGCTTGCCTGCGTGTGTTTTGCGTGTGTTCAGTTGCTATTGTTGGTCCGAATGGTGTTGGCAAGAGTACATTGTTGAAGATGTTGACTGGAGACCTTGATCCGGTAAGTAGTTGTTGGTAATCATTGTTAGCACACTGTACAATGCTATTGCTATACTGTATACATGCAGTGCAGCAATGGCCGTCCACCAGTACAGTGTAGTGCCAGTGCATTAGTGGCTGTCACAGTGTGAGCCCAGCAGTGTGTTACTGCTCAGCATGTACAGTTGAGTTGGGGTACTCGGGTATTGCACCTCCCTATGTGTACATGTCCTACCTTATCATTGTTAGTCAGCGTTGTGAAATTCGTCTGAGTATCTTCCAACTCTCTCTCTCTCTCTCTCTCTCTCTCTCTCTCTCTCTCTCTCTCTCTCTCTCTCTCTCTCTCTCTCTCTCTCTCTCTCTCTCTCTCTCTCTTCTCTCTCTGTTTGTGTTTGGGATTCTGGCAACATTCTGTATTTTGCAGACTACAGGAGAACTGCGTCGCAACCACAGACTGGTACGTGGCTAATTTATGTGTTGTTGTTGTTGTTGTTGTTGTTGTTGTTGTTGTTGTTGTTGTTGTTGTTGTTGTTGTTGTTGTTGTTGTTGTTGTTGTTTGAATTCTTTATTCTCACGACGTTGTTGTTGGTGCTGTTGTTGTTGTTGTTGTTGTTGTTGTTGTTGTTGCGATGGCCAGAGGCCAATAAGAGAAATTTGTGAGTGAGATAGTAAAAGGCTAATGGTGAAAGGTGATGGTGAGAGGTTGCCTACCGTGCAATGATTCCTCTCTCGGTGTGTGTGTGTGTGTGTGTGTGTGTGTGTGTGTGTGTGTGTGTGTGTGTGTGTGTGTGTGTGTGTGCTCTGTGCTCTGTGCTCTGTGCAAGACCGTCATTGTAAGTCTATTCCGTTTGCTGTGTGCTTTTTCTACTTGTATTTATATATTGACAGAGAATTGGAGTGTACAATCAGCATTCTGCAGATCAACTCTCTTTGGATGAATCACCAGTGGACTATCTGAGAGTAAGTCATGCTGTGCTTCATGTATTCATACCTGCACTGTACCTACCTGTGTGTGTATGCACTGTACCCTGCACACTGTACCCTGCACACTGTACCCTGTGCACTGCATCCACCCATGCTATGATGTAGTGCTATGTGTGCTAACTCATGTCATGACAAGGGTCTATGATTATTTGCCTTGCTATTTGCCCAGACTCTGTATGTGGTTAACTGTGGTTTGTGTGACATTGGCAGATATTGCTTTGCTGTTTGCTGCTGGTACTCATGGTTGGTTGTGGCTCATTAGACACCCTTAGCAAAAAACGTTATGTTGTAACGGTATTATCGTAAGGGGGAAAGTACCGTGATTTGGGTTCGACCTTTAGCAAGATGCACGCTATTTTTAGTACGCTGTTGCCACGAGAATAGCTTTGATTCCGCGCGGTACAACCATTTTTGTCACCATCTACTTCCTCCGTTAACAAAAACTTCGTGATGGATTTTGATGGATATGAAAACGCTTAGAAAAGGTCAAGAACAGTTTGTATCGACTGCAAATCCGTGGACGAAGGTGATTCAGCCTATGTACAGCGTCTTTACAAGAGAAACTGTTGGCGGAATGAGCAGAGAGTTCAGTTTGCGTCGCTTTAGCTTGACTCATGTTTGACCCTGCGTCGCTGTCGTCATCTGCTGCACGCGAGTCGTCATCTGCTGCACGCGAGTCGTCATCTCTCTTGAATCATTGTTCAGCTCGTTTCAGCCTTGGCTCAGCTTCTTTGATCACACTCTGCTGACCTTGATGTCGCCGTCGTTCAAGTAAGTAGTTGGCTTTCAAGCTGCGTGATCCGCCGCGATGGCGATTCCTCGTTTCCACCAGGGGGTCGTAAAAATATTTTACGACTCCCTGGTTTCATCTTCGCACTCCAGAACTCCGCGAAACGAGGAGTAAAGGCACAGCCAAACTGATTCAATTTTCTCTGATGGATACCCCTGCCAGCACTGAACGGCAGCGGCTAGCAAGTCCAGTCGACTTTCTTTAGCCACGAGACTTGCATCGGACTGCAGACTTCTGAAAGAATACATGGTCATCAGCATTCGAATCTGGGCTTTGCGCACGTTGAACAAGAACTTGAGCTCAGAATTATTTTCATTGAGCCGTGCGATCGGACCAGCTCCTTGTTCACTCGCTCATTGTGTGGACTCGCTGTTCCGTTTGATCGCTCTTTATCACTCTCCAACTTACTCAGTGCTAGAGTAGTAGAGAGGCTTAGCAACGCAATATCCCCTCGGAGAAGTGGTATTTCAGTTTCGCTCGCCATGACTGTCATCACCTATGTTTCCACAGCGCAACCATCGATTCCGCTCAGCTTGTTGTGAAAGGTCGCTTTCCTTGAATCGTACCTCTTTCATGGCCCGCCAGGGAAGGCCAAGAAAGTGACTGCGACTCATTTCACGGCAGTTTGTGCGCAAACCAGCCCCTCAAAAATCCATCACGAAGTTTTTGTTAACGGAGGAAGTACGCGATACAAGGTGAAATGCGTACGGACTAAGCAATATTTGGCCAAAACACGTACCGTTGGTCACACCGATAAATCAGCCCCCATAACGTTTATACGCTGCAGCTTCAACGCTATTTGGGTGATTAAGGTACGAGTACCGTAAAAAATAGCGTTACCGTTGTTTGCTAAGGGTGTCTATTATGTATTTTCTACTGTATTCGTGTTGGTATTATATATTGTGTACAGAGGTTGTTTGATGTTGACTACCAGCTGGCACGTAAGACCCTGGGCCGCTATGGTCTCTCTGGACATGCACATACCATCATGATCAGAGATCTCTCAGGTGAGCATCTGTAGACTTAGGGTACTAGTACATTCTGTTTGCGCAAAACGGCACCCGGCTTGTAAAGCTGATTGTCAGATGTTAGGCATGTGTATACAGCACAAAGCAGAATGCCTACTAGAATGTAAGAGACTATTCCTGCACCAGTACCAGCAGTACTGCCGTGCCAGGGGGTGTTTCCGCTCTAAATTGTTGATGGCAGTGATATTCTCGGCAGGAAATCGTTCTCCAGTAGTGAGGACAGTCTAGTGCGCTGGGGATCTGGAGATTTGGAGAAATAGAGAAGGAAAAATTTCTAATTGAAGCTTCTTTCTGATAGTGCCACTCAAGTGCATGTATGTAATAGGATAATGCTACTCAAGTACATGTATGTAATATGATAGTGCTACTCAAGTGCATGTATGTAATAGGATAATGCTACTCAAGTGCATGTATGTAATATGATAATGCTACTCAAGTGCATGTATGTAATAGGATAATGCTACTCAAGTGCATGTATGTAATAGGATAGTGCTACTCAAGTGCATGTATGTGTTAGGATAATGCTACTCAAGTACATGTATGTAATAGGATAATGCTACTCAAGTGCATGTATGTAATAGGATAATGCTACTCAAGTGCATGTATGTAATAGGATAACTGCATGAACACATGTATGGACACGGCTAGAAACTTGTGTTCATTCCTGCTCGTATTCGGACTGTGAAGTATACTGTAGCGGTATTGTGGGTGATATTGGGTACAAAGTCATCAAGCTATGGGGAACCAATAAATCTGTTATGGCTGAGCTTTGTGCTTCAACACTCATCTGCCAACTTCTTTATCTAAACATGTGCCTACAGAACACCCATGGATACAAATAGCTGGTAGATGTTGCTAATGGAGCTGTGTATTGGATAAGTGTGCTGTCTGTATGCATTGTGTTGTCCATGTTGTCCGTGTTGTGTATGTCACAGGTGGTCAGAAGGCACGTGTTGTCTTTGCTGAACTGTCCCTGCGTGCACCTGATGTCTTGATTCTTGTAAGTCTTGCGCCAAACTCACTCCAAACTGCCTCTGAACAGCTTAAAAACACATGCTGAGGGAAAGAAAACCTCAGAATGTATCAATAGCTCGTGGTTGTGTGTTTGAATTGCCTGGTGGTGTCCGTAAATCTGCTACAGCACTGCTCTCTGCAAACTCGGTGATCCCCTTCTGGTTAGCAGCTAAGCTGGGCGTTGCCTTTCAGTGCATCAGTATAGCTGTGGGTAAATCAACATGCAAATGTAGAATTTCTTAGGTTTGGTCTCGCTTACAATTTCCCTACATGTAGCACAATTTCTTCATACTTGCGCTGTAGTTGGAGAGCAGGCAGCACAAGTACGCCACCTATTGTACTGATGGCTGATATCTATTTCAAAGTATGGTGTGTATGCAAGTTCATGCCTTGCTGCCATTTACTTCAATCTAAGCTACTACAGTAAGATCGGGCGCCGAAGAACGCAGGGGCTCGAGCGCAGCCTAGGAAAGTTCTTAAATTTTTGATTCTAGCCAGACCGATCTTATTCACACGCCATCGGCGAGTCGAGTGACGTCATGACGTTTGTCATGTACATGTAGTGCAATGTAGTACTTCTAAACTAGTGGGTGTCGTAAATGGGAATGACTGTACATGTAGCAGTTACTGTTTACACGTGTACATGACATGTACTCACCTCCCATACATGTACAATGTAGATCTACGTACAATGTAGATCTAGTGTTCTTAAATCTGATAATTCTAGCCTGGACTGTTCTTAAATTTTGCCGGTTTTCCAGCCTGGGTGTTCTTCGGCGAGGTGTTCTTCGGCGCCCGATCTTACTGTAGTGCATGTCATATTATGATGACCTTATGACTTCTTTGTTGACATGGTATTGGTATGTTGTGTGTTTGTTTGTATATTAGGATGAACCTACTAACAACTTGGATATTGAGTCCATCGATGCTCTTGCAGAGGCTATCAATGAGTACGAAGGAGGTGAGCACACACGCACACACTCACTCACACACACACACTTTCTCTCTCTCTCTCTCTCTCAAGTGAAATGTCCAGCACCATGATACTAATGAGCCGGCAATGCACATGCAATGCACATGCAATGCACATGCATAGGCATGCTTGCCTGTGGTTGGTGCTTTCTTTCATGATGGGGAAATTTAGTTGAGTTCATGTGACTTGGCTCTTTGGTATGCTCTCTGTTTGTTTGATAGTCTGTGTGTGTTTTGCTGAAAATGTTCTCCATTTGCATTTTGATGTGTTCTCAGGTGTTGTGCTAGTTAGCCACGACCAGCGTCTGATTTTGGAGACCAACTGTCAACTATGGGTTGTGGAAGATCAAGGTCAGTAATGCCGACCCATCTATGCGATCAAACTGATGAATCTCTGTGTTGCTCTCCACGGCTTCAGACTATTTTTGTTGACAGTCTTTTGGTGATGTAGTCCTGTGCATGCCTATACTTTTCTCACTTTGCAATACTTTCGTCAAATTCCCATCGAATCTGACATATTTCTACTTGCACATGTTGATGTTTCTTCCTCTTAGGTGTGTTTGAGATTGATGGTGACTTTGACGATTACAAGCAGGAAGTGCTCAAGCAAGTTGAGGAGATGTCACAGTAACTTGTGCCGCTGTGTAACTTGTTCCTCCGTTGTTACACTTGTATACCGTCTTATACTGTTAGAGTGATTTTACTGTGTCCACTGCTGGCAGCGGGATTGGGTAGGACTTGCGTTGCTTGTTGCTATGCTACCACCAGATTGACCAATGGCACCTGGTACAACTGAAGGTGTCGGTCATTGCCATCCAGTCTATAAGCTCATAGCGCATTGCAAATCTGGAATGCACGTGTAGTGCACGAGTACTGTTGGTGGTACAAACTGCATCCTTGCACAATGGGCTTACTGCAGTCTCTATTGTAGTGTTGTAGTGTGGTGTTGTGGTAGCATGTTGGAATCATGCAATGATGAGCACAGTCAGTGTCTCCTCTGCAGTCAGCAACAATGCATGTACAATGTCATCATGTACAACAGCTTGTGTGCCAGTTGCATGACATCATTATCATTTTCAACATCATCATCATCATCATCATCATCTCTAGCTAGCTGCTTGTATATACACGACTGTACTTTGAAGTACAATGTACATTGTGCTTAGTGGCATCCCTTGATTGCTAGCCAGGTCTTGCTACACCAGTGATTGCTAGCCAGGTGTCTTCTTACACCAGTCTACAACACAGCTGCTCTATTTTATTTAAATCTTGCATATGCAGACAGCGCTCCATTGCTAACTCCACTGCCTGGTGTATGGTCAGAGATTATCAGACTATCAGCATGGATATGTTACATGTACAGTATTGTCTGATGTGTGGATTACTACTTGCAGGTAGTTACAGGTTATCGACATGACAACATGAAATGCATGATGTGTGTGCTGTGTGCATGTGCTGTGCTATCTAACCACCCACCACTTTCATTGTTTCTCTCCTTTCCTGAGTCTCATTTGTCTTGATGCTGCCATTTTCTTTTCTCTTGCACTCAGTTTGTTTTCAATAACTTTAGTGCTGTGGCTGTTTACACATTGATTGAATTACAACATTGTGTGGTGTACTACTTTGAGTACTGCGAGTACGTGCTGTTGCCTGCTGCATGCCTACGTGTACTACTACTTATGCAGTGAGGTTTTTGGTCTGCTTGCGCTGGTAATCGTGCCCCTGTTGCATGTATTGGGCCGCATCTTTCTGCCATCTTCAGAAAGACTACGATCGAATTCCGAATGTTGCCATTTATATTGGCATCGAGTTCTGCACTATTGACCGCCACTGCAGCGGAAACTGTAGGCAACAGCTTTGTGAATTCCTGCCTGTGTGGGCCATCGTCCAGTGCCTGTGTGGGCCATCATCCAGTGCCTGTGTCACAGTGTGTGGGCCATCATCCAGTGCCTGTGTGGGCCATCATCCAGTGCATGTGTGGGCCATCATCCAGTGCCTGTGTGGGCCATCATCCAGTGCATGTGTGGGCCATCATCCAGTGCATGTGTGGGCCATCATCCAGTGCCTGTGTGGGCCATCATCCAGTGCATGTGTGGGCCATCATCCATGCATGTGTGGGCCATCATCCAGTGCATATGTGGGCCATCATCCAGTGCATGTGTGGGCCATCATCCAGTGCCTGTGTGGGCCATCATCCAGTGCATGTGTGGGCCATCATCCAGTGCCTGTGTGGGCCATCATCCAGTGCATGTGTGGGCCATCATCCAGTGCCTGTGGGCCATCATCCAGTTTGCTTGTACTTCTGACTGTAGAGGCAACAGCTCTGGCCATCCTGACCTGCCTGTAGCTCTACACAGTCTGTAGTATTCCTGCATGCTGCAGGCTGCATGCTACATGACTGGTTTACGGCAACAGGTGGTCATTCCTGCCCATACTGACTACCATCAGCTGTAGCTGCGTCGAGTACAACTAACCCCGTGAGGTGGATGGAGATGAGTCCAATGATGAAGAGCATGGTAACTTACTACCGATATATTAATAGAGAATGAGAGATATTCAAGCATGCCAATAATATGAGTCCCGCAGCCATCACCACACATCATTGAAGTCTCAGAAGGTTTCCAGAAGCGATGGTCTTGTCATTGGATCTTTGTGACTGAAGAGTAAAGAAGAAGAACCACAACTATAAAGTAAAATATTCATTGGAGTTTTTTGAGAACTTTGAACCTCCATTGAAGCCTTGTCATCTTTCCACTAAACCTCCAACCCATACCGGTAACACACGAACAGTCCTCGGGTACACCGCGCACGATTGTTTCCAAATGATTATATAAGACAGTACAGGGACAGACTTCACCCTACTACTGAACTATCATGGCACAATGCAACAAGTCACCTAAGCTTTGCACAGTCATTACAAAGCATTTGGTTGGTGTGTGTGTTGGGGGGGGGGGGGGGAAATAAAATAGAAGACTGCAGGGGCGTACATAGGGCGGTTCCCGGGATGCCCGGGAACCAGTAAAAAAACTTCGATATGGGTATTATCAAGAGTAGATAAACAAGAGTGTGCAACTCCGGATCTCTCCTGCACAATCTGCAGATACCCCGCGCCCACGGCGGAATTTTTTGTTTACGTCACCTTTTTTCAGAGAAACGCGGCTTTGCCGCAGAGCAGTGTGAGAGCACGTGCTGGGCACCGACCTTGTAGTGTAAAGCCCAGCCAAGTGCACGAGGGAAAACTCTCCAAAAGGCTCGCAGCGCGTGCGTCGTCGAAAAGATTACGTCAACAAAAAATTCCGCCGTGGGCCAATCCATCCGGAGTTGCACACTCTTGTTTATCTACTCTTGGTATTATGGGTACGGAGAAGTTTTTGATCCAGGCCCAGCGCTCGCGGTACACTAGTGCAAGTGCATGCAGTGCATGACTGGATCCATGGAGTCCGCCTGACGGTCCGAGGACGGTGACTGTAGCCCAGGTGTGAAAGTGATAACAGCGTATTGAACTGGGTTCAACAAAGTCTCTAGGTACATCGCCGGATTCCTCGATCTCAGAGTCAAATATTCCTTTGCAGTTTGTTTTGACAAAGTTGGTCGTGTTTTGGACGATGCTTTCGCTTTATGGAAAAGAAAAATGAAGCGTCGACATCCAGAGGGCCAGAGCTCTATTCAGAGCTATTTTAAGCAGCAGGCAAAGCATGTAGCCAGTGCTAGTGGCGAAGGTCAAGCTATAGATGAGAATGCAGACGCACCTGACTTGCAAGCGAAGTCTGGATGCAACGAGCAGCGCTGCGGAAGAAATTGTCGGCGAAGCTGTAGAGCGACCGTTGTTGGAAGCTGCTAGATCATCCAAAACCTACTTCAGTGACATGGGAGTGTGTTGGAAGGGATATTCTGAACGTCGACGTCCACAGTGGAATCCAGTTCCCCGAAATTTGCCGGACACAGAAAAGATTTCCGTCATCGATAATCATTGTGCGCCACCGAAGGCGAAGGATTTCATTTCCTGTGCGTGTCCAGACGGATGGCAAACAGCGTCACTTTCAACTATCTTTGTTATTAGAGGAGTTACCCTGGGTAGTCTTTTGACCGGCATGCAATGGTGGCTTCTGCTTGCCCTGTGTGATGTTTGCTCCAGATGATTCGAAACTTAGGCAGCTTTCAAAACTGCATGCAATCGTCATGCTGAACAAAACATCCATAAAACGTAAAATCAAAAATGCGTAGCAATGACATCTTCCAGCAGCTTGTGGATGCTAATTTCACCCAGTCTGAGGAGAATATGCAGAAACTCCGTGGGATACGAAAAACAGCACTTCAATTGTGAAGAATGTTGGTCCATCAGTTGGCATGGGAACCACTCCTGGAGGCGAGCGGCGTACGCCCCTGGACTGACACAATCAACATCCATCGCGACTGTCAATTCGCAGACGATGCGGCACTTATTGCTACAACTCACCATGGTGCCACACTTGCACTCAGCCGGTTCATGGACGTCGCAACTCACTTCGGCCTCACCATCAACCTATCAAAAACCAAAGTTTGTTTGAATTCGTTTAGAGCACATGCAATTCTGCCTTCTCACCAGAGGAAAAACCTCCGGTTCCTGCTAAGAACGAATATTTATTTATTACAGCATCTCATAGCACAGTGAGAACACCGGCCAATACAAAGAGAGAGGGTGTTAGCCAACCACGGCAAGGCAGGGAGAAGGGGAGGAGAAGAAAAAGGAACCGGCATGGATAAGCAGTGATTGCAACCAAATCAGAAACACAAAATCAAAATCAAGGCGCGACAAGGCTCTTAAAAAGGCGGAGGGAAGAAAGGTCCTTCTTGGGGAAGTGCCAGCCACGCAGAGTACGCAATAAAAAAGGGAGAGTGAAGTAGAAAGGAGGGCTTAGGTTTCGGAAGGGAAAGGGAGTTTCTCGTGCTACGGGAAGAGAACCAGTTGAAACAGTGGAGGTGAGGTGGACACAGATTGAGTTTGAGAGAATGGATAAGGGTGACAAGATGTGAATTACGTCTCTTAGACAAAGGGGAAGTGTCAGCAAGGGCATAAAGGGTGGAAGATGGAAGCATGCGGGGTTTTCGGAGGAGGATTTTGAGGACTTTTTTGTGTTGAATCTCGAGCTTGGCAGCACGGGTTGTGGAAATTCCAGCCCAAGCAGTATCTGCATAATCAAAAATGGGGCGTAAGTAAGCTGAGTAAAAGAGGAGTTTACAAGAGATTGGGAGATGGTAACAGTGAGAAGAGAGGATTCCTAAAGATGAACTTGATCGTTTACATATGTAATCGATGTGGGGTTCCCATGAAAGATTAGAGTCAATGCCAATGCCAAGATGCTTATGGCTGGAGACTATGTCTATAGGCTGGGGGAAAGTGGGATGGAGGAGGGGCGGAACATCGGGCTGAGAAGGAAAGAGCATGATTTTAGTTTTAGACAGATTGGGCGATAACCGCCAAGACGACATCCAGGAAATAACTCTTTGAATCCCGTTAGCTAGGTTACTCATCAGGCCAGTGATGTTAGGAGATGCCCGTAGGAGCGTTGTGTCGTCTGCGAACAGTGATGTGCCCGGGGCAGCTGCGGGCAGATCATTGACGTATAAAATAAAAAGAAGGGGGCCGAGGATGGAACCCTGGGGAACTCCGGATAGTACTGTTGTGTCGGCCGAGGACGTCCCATGTACCGTGACGTACTGCGTTCGCCCAGTTAGGTAAGATGTCAGCCATAGCAGGGGATTGCCGAATATAATAATTATTATGAGAGAAGGAAATATTAAAAAGAATCATAACATGATAATTCCAAAACACAAAGTTTGTATATAATTCAAATGGGTGTGTGTATGTGTAAGTATGCAGTGAAGAAAACACAGAGAAAACCTGCAATAATGTGTAGGGATGCCGAGCAAGGTGGTTACAAATTACAATTAATTCTGTTCAGAGCCAGTTAAAAGGCAAACGCCGCACTGTGGAGGCGAATATCGCTGGGAAGGGCATTCCAAAGAGTACTTCCCACAAATGTCAATGACTGACGACCGGAAGGTCCAGGAAGGAAAGGCACTTGCAGTAGCCGCTGTTCCTGTCCTCGAGTAATTCGGCGATCATCCCGGGATGCTTGGCCTGTATTAGCCATCAACTGAAAGTAGGTGCAGAAAAGAGGACTTGCAAGATCATGTAGGCAACGGAAAACAAAAAACAAAACCTTGTAGTTAAAAATGTGAGTTAGGAATCGAATAGATAAGCGCACGAGGAGGGGGGCTGTGGATGCACGGCTGGAGAGTCGGAAAATTGCACGAATTCCGGATTTGCTGGATTTGATTAAAGTAATGGCGGTCGGCTTCGGCATTTCTCCGGAGGATCGTCGTCCATTGGTGGTTGGCGGGAAAATTGTCGAGAACTTGCATGACTTTCGCTACCTAGGCTCCATCATCCATACTGGTGGCCGCACCGCAGTGGACACTCGGTCCCGAATAGCGTCAGCATCTAGGTCATTCGGAGCATTGCGTCGATCTGTCTTTGATGATGGCGATCTTTCACTGGCAACGAAGCGAATGGTGTATGACGCATGTGTGGTTTCTCTTCTCCTTTACGGAGCGGAGTGTTGGGTGCCACTGAAAAGCGAGCTTGCGGCGCTGTCCGCCTTCCATCTTCGCTGCATTTCCACACTGATCTTAACCATCAGTAGAAGAGACACCTGGGACTTCCACATCAACAGGAAGACCATTCTGGAGGCCTGGAATCGTCGAGATCCGGTGGATATTACCACACGTGTTCTTCGCCGCCGTCTGAAGTGGCTAGGCCACCTAGCCAGGATGGACGGCGATAGAACTCCGTGCCAGTTCCTGTTTGGTACGCTCCTTCCGCCGAGGCGGGCTTGCGGTCCTCGGAAACGGTGGCGAGACTCTGTCAGAGCTGACCTCTCCACAATGAACATCGACCACACGGAATGGTATGACCTCGCCCAGGGGTGTGGGAAATGGCGCAGTGCGTATTCCGCTCAACCAGTACCGCGATCGGCTCAGCGATGTCTGCCAGCGTACTTTCGCCCACCAGAAATACAAGAATCGCCACAAATGCCCGGCCGAGAGGAGGAAACCAATATCTGAGCAGTCCGGCAGCCGACTATGTAATGCGTGCGGGAGGTGGTTTTTGAGTGCTGGCAGGCTAGCTTCGCATAAGTGTCTCTCCAACTCGGCTGCTGCAGTGGCCTCGGCATCGGTCTCGGCTGTGGCATCAGCAGACTCGGTCCGGAAACAGCGGGTTGCCCTGCCCTGCTGCAGAGCGCATTGTCTCGGCTGCGGTCGCTGCTGCAAGTCATCCCGTGGTTTCGACCTGCATAGCTGTGCTAATTTCCTGTCCAAGAAGTACAGCGGCGTTTTTGGATCCAATGCTGAACTCAGTGCTGTCGACCCCTGCACAGGGGACACGTGCCCATTTGATGGCAGTGTTACCAAGGACCTGTCCCCGGGGATAATTGCGATTCCGCGGCCGCGTTTTTTGAACTTTTTTGTTGCACTACATGTACACACAGCGCACTGTTCGGTCAGCAACGTCTCATCGTGGCGGCTTTTTACTCAAATATGACGAGTGCTTACACTCGTCATATACACTTTTGTACACCAGAGACTTGTAACTGATTGATTTCACTACATACTCACTGAAAATTGCCGCACATCAATATTATTCACCGCATATTTCCCGCAAATTCACCTCAAATTATGCCATATTATGCCGCGTTTTTTTGCGATTTTTTCCCGCAATTTTCCCCGGGGACAGAAGGACCAAGAGGGGGGGGGGGGGGGGTATGAGCCGAGTGGAGCATGTGAATATTCTCAAGTCAGGCATCGCTACAATTGGTCAGGTGTCAAATCAGAGATCTCGCGCTCAGTCACTGTGATAACCATGATACTTTTTACACTCTTTGATAGAAGCACAGTGTGGAATATTCAAGTTCTAGATTAGCCAAGCAGACTTTTTTAGTTTTTACAGGCCGATGTTTCTGTTTGCTACATGCTAAAAGCAACAACAACAACTGCACCGGTGCACCATCATACCGTATTTTCCGGAGTATAGTGCGCACCTTTGTATAACGCGCACCCCCAATCTTCATTGGGGGTGCGCACTTCAACCTTCATTGAAGTACAGTAGATATTGGTTATAACGTGCCCTTCTGATTTTTCACATTTTATCACTATAACCGGTATATCACTACAGGCGATTTTCAACTGCGCGCGTCATACATACACATAATACACGTGTGGGTACTCGATCGCGCTAATGTAGCGTACTGACACGTGATGGATGCTACTGCACCTTCTCCAGTCTAGAGTGAAGAACTTCTTGGCCCAAAGGCATCATCCAGGAAGCACCAGACCACAATACCCTATGACAACACGCATGTGGCTCCAAGTCGAGACATCAATGCCTCACACTTGTGTGTTGCTATCACTATAGACGATAATATTTCTGCACAAAGAGGTGTTTTGAATGGTGATTCTGTATCCTTATAGCCGATTTATCGCTATATACGATATATTGGTTATAATGATAATTTGACTGGCTTTTTCTGGTTTTGCTTTTGATATTTTCATTTTGTATCAATATAGCCGGTTTATCACTATGTCCGATGACTTTATAACCGATATCCACTGTACATGCATTTCATATTCGGAGCATAGTGCGCACCTGCGATTTAGGGCCTAAAATAGCACATCTAAAGTGCGCACTATACTCCGGAAAATACGGTACTCGACTCGTACATGATCATGAGTCATGATGTACACAGCTAGCTAGCTAGCTGTTAGCAGCTAGCTCAGGCTACAGGTAGGTCTACAATAGTTTTTTTTTCATTCAGTGCAGTACGAGGTGATTTGGCTTTTTTTTAACATGGTTGTAAAATGACGTTTTTTCAGCCACTTCTAGGCAAGCTACGTCCAAATGAATTGTTGCAAGTGGAAGTGCTATCCTTCATGCCCGTTGTCTCAAAAAATGGGAATGATCCTACTTTGGAAAGTGTCCTGAATCATGTCCTACTTTCATACTCATCATAGTATTCTCAGGTTTTGTGTCATTTTTTAACAAATTTGTAAAATGGCATCACAAACTGGGATATTCGGTCATCAATGTTCTGAAGTTGATAGATATCACTTCAAGGATTGCCAGTGGATGAAAATTAATCTGTCAACTGCATTGTATGCTGCGAAAGCCGTGTTTTTGTATTTGTAACTAGTGGCTGTGTAATACGGTAGAATTGGATAGGTAGCATAGCATCGCAGCCATGTTTTCGTTCTCACAGAGTGTATTCCGTGACCTACTGTTCTTCATCATTGTCTTTAGTGATGGCAAGACGGCCTGACGTCGTCCAAAGGCCCTGCGGAAGCAATTCACTGCCCTCCTCGTCCATTCAGGGGCTTATTTTACACATTTTACACAAAATGGCAAAGCATCCACCACTAGTTATACCGACGTGGCAGGGAGAATTAAAATATATGCACCAAATGTTCTGGTCAATGTTGATCTACGATAAACTGGCTCTCATTTGCCACCAGCCATGTTTCGATACAGCCATCCGGAGCAGAGAAACAGCCAGAAGAAAAGCAAATATTTAATTTACACATTTGTTAAAAAATGCCAAAAATTAATGTTAAAAATAGCCAAAATTAATCACTTCGTACATGATTGTTATGACGTCGCTCTCACCGTGCACGTGGTGCTATCTTGCACATCGATTTTCAAAAATAAATGCTTCACCAACCAGATATGCAGATGTGTCAATTACTGGTTCACAAAAGGATTATGTCCTAACGTTTTCAATTATAGGTTGCTTCAGTCAGTGGCAGACGAGACGTCAAGCGGTAGTGGCAGTCTGGCTCTTCTATCTGCGTGTTCCGTCTAGACTTTTTCGCTTCGTGTAGCATGTTGCTAGCTCTGTCTAGTGGAGCCCAATGTCTGAACATTTGGTCTCACCACCTCCTTTTCCAAAGCATTCTTTCCCTGTTGTCTGATAAGTAATACTAATAACGTATGAAGTCATGGAACGAAACATTCGTGCAACTCATGGAAGCACCAGTGTAGCAGCAGCAGACAGCTGGTCTGCAGCGTTCGATTGGCAGAGACATGAAGCTACTTTGGACGAAATGTTCTTGAAGAATTCTGCTCTGTTTCCCAAGTAAGACAGGCATGTTTGTTTTACTCCAGAGTCAGTGTAGATTTATATGTATGCGCTGGACTAGTCACATAGTATGGTACATTACAATAACAAGGAATGTGCAGTTTTTTTCGCAGTTTTCTGCGAAGTCTAGTCTGGGAATTTTCTCGAGGCCGTTGGGCCGGCTTACCCCCCCCCCCCCGCCCCGCGCAATTCCGCTCATTTTCATTCATTAGAAACGAAGTTTATAATTCAGGCAGGTTTTATGGATTTGAAAGATTCATCGATTTTTCAAGTAGGGTTCAGATGAAAGACAATACTATTGGTATCGGTTCGAATGGTATATCTCTCGCTTGCATACGATAAGCCAAACTTGCCAAATCGCCAATTGTATGCTCCCGTTGCCATAGCGACCAACGCAGTGATGACACACGTTCTGCTTAGCTCCGTGAGAGAGAAGGTCGATCACTGCAGAATTTGGTCATTTTCAATTGGTTTATTGTATTCATGAAGTGAAAGAAGGGCTGTGTTCAATGCTGTTAGTGCCGTGAACTGTTTATTTGTAGTCCTTTCGGTTGTGTACTGGGACGTGACACCGACAGGAGAAAGCTGGAGTGTGGGAACATCAGCAGACAAGCGAAAATGGTGAAGAACAAAGTGCCGAAATCTTGGGACAAATCAGACGGTCAGCTTTTACCCTAACCAAGGACCATGGCGTTTGCTCTTTCCACTTCCTAAAGATGGATGTGATGCTTCCTGGCGACTCTCCTAGCTCTCGCAACATCTTCTGAAGCCAAGTGAGACGACAGGTGGTGGAGATTGACGAACGAAATAATGTCGTACTTTTGTGAAAGTTTGCTGAAAATTTCTCCGGAGAGATGGCGAATACCAAGCATCTTTTCCCAGAGGAGCCATTTCCTAGGCTACAGTCAGCCTAGGGAAATGCAGGAGAAGGCCGATAAACAGTTCACGGCAATAACAGCATTGAACACTGTTGTGATCTCGAACTCGTCAGTCACTGAACTGATTTTATTGTAAAGAAGACACGAACTTATAGAGTGTGAAGAAGAGTATAGCAGATAGAGAGCGGTGGAAGGAGAGCCGCTGGACAGCTGGATAGTGTATCAATAAGCGCACTAGGGGAAGGCTAGACAGTATGTCTCTAGACATCAATAGGTATTGTACGAAAGGCCAGTCAATAGTACTAAAGAGTGAAGTCAACGACAATACAGACAATAGCTTCAGACAATCATGACAGGCATGATACGGATGATATAACATCTCCCCTTTCGAGCAAAGAGCGAAAACAGAGGGCAAAGAGGCCAAATAGAACTGGAGCATTCGGTACTAGACTAGAGCCAGCAGAGAAAGAGCGCCGCCATGCGTTATGTGGAAGGAGAGTGAGCACAAAGAGCAAGACGCAGAGATCACAGTGCGACTCTACGAGTACAGAATACAGCACAATCATGTAGAAAGTACATGTACCTGGAGTTGCATGGAGAGTCCATGTCAGCATGGCACTCACGGACAGCATGACTGTTTGGTGCTGTGATGGTACTTACAGTAACACCACCCACGGATTTCTGACCTGTGTCACTTTGGCGCTGTTGCACGTTGACACACGCGGAAGTGACCAAGTTTCTTGCGAGTCTTTGTCTGTAGCGGGGCAATCACGCCGAGGGTGAGCTGCACCACCACAGACTCGGTGGATCGTTACTACACTGAGGCAACGATGTCGGAGGTCGAACAGTACGACGTGTTGTCTGAGGTTTCCGCCGCGTTTGCGAGGGGCGGTGAACCCGGGAGAGACTTTCGGAGCGCCATCTCTGTCCTCTCCGTTCGCAGGTAAGTTTCAGCCTGCTCGGCAGTTGTGGTAGCGAACATTTGGGGGGGGGGGTTCCGGGCAACGGGAACCCCCCCCCCCCCCCTGCGTACGCGCCCGGTACATCTCGTCTGTATGCAGAAGACTACGTGAAGGCCACGGATATTGACTTCCACAGTCCTGACTCCTCGGTCAAATTATGCATTCTTTTTTTTCAAGACTTTCGACCCGTGAAGAGCGACTATACGCGAGGTGATGCGCAGTTTCCAACAAGTAACTCAAGTATTGTGCCCGCAGAGAGCACGGCTTGCCAAATACAAACTTACATTATACGATAACCTACACCTGTAGAGCTGGCGTATAGCTAACGTGGCGTGCTGCTGAGTCTGCCGTCTGCACGTACAGTCCACGTTGACATGCGGGTCACGACAGAATGGCAGATTAACACAGTATTGGATGGCTGTGTTGTGCAGAGTGTGTACCGTATTTCCTCAAGTAGTTAGTTCTGCACCGAAAATATGTGCCACCGTGTAATGAGCCCCGAGGTTGAGAGGTGGTTGAAAATCCAACATCCCTCTGTGGTTGAAAATCCAACATCCCTCTGACAACAACTTTTGCTGTGCACTGACTAGTATGTGGTTTGTTATGGTTTATTATGCTCTTCTGCAGAGATAGCAAAGAAAAGAAAGGCTTTTGGCCATTCTTTTATCGCTTTCAGTCATTCAAGAAAAAGCAGCAGCAGCAGCAGCAGAGGCGACATCAGCCAGGAAAGGAGGAGTCACCATCGGAGAGGATACATTCCAGTAGACAGCGTAATGTAGGACATGTCGGCACACTGCAGCAGCAGCAGCAGCAGCAGCAGCGAGCTGTAGGAAAGACACCAGGGTGTACGCAAGAAGACTTCATCTCCTTATCTGGCCGTCGGTATGGTGATGAGCCAACAGTAGACTCCATTTTGGATTCCTTGCCGGCTAAGTATGATGTTTTAGACCGTGCAAATTTGCAATGGTTACCAGGTAGTAGTGGCTATTCATCGAGAGGATACGGAGGAAGTCGTTATTTTCAGCAGCACTTCACCACATCTGGTAAGTAGTTGTGTGAACTGCTTTTCGTTGTTGATTGCCGCACGGGAAGGTAGAGCGTTACACACATGGCACTGCCATACCCCCAACCGTTGCACTGACGTCACACTATTACCCATGACTAAGGCTGTTATGATTGTATCAGTCAACGCTTCACATAACTTGTCAGCGGACAGTATGTACCGTACTGGCAATACCTAGTACAATAGATGATCAATAACTTGTGTACTTGATGAGCCTTTGGTGGTGGTGATGGAAACACTTTACCTTCTAGCACAGTGGGTTTTGTTGTCACATTTTTAATCATCAAAATTGTTCATTGCTTATATTCTCACTCACAGGGCATGTGTCAATCTTCATGAAGATGAAAATGACACATGACTGAGTGGTAAACAATTGGATTTTCTTATTTTCAGTAGTGTTGAAGTTGATAAAGAAGTTTGATTGAGGATTCAGCCAATAAGGCCAGCCAGAGACCATGGAGTCATGTGTGAAGTATAAATACTGGAATAATTGTTGTGTTCATCACACAAAGAAATGTTTTTTGTGTCTGTTTCACCGGAAGGTCATCGTCTTGGTGCTAACATTCCTGATCATCGAATGGAGGAATTCAAGGATAGTGTACTGCACTACTTGCAGTTCTTGCAGAAGCAGAAGGTATGAACACATTCCTAAATGTGCTGCAACAGCTATTGTTTCTTTTCTTGTTTTTTTTGTAGGGCTGCAATGGGTAGGGGTTTGGTTGGGTAACGGGTCCGGGTAATTTTATCCGGGTAGCACGGGTACCCTATCGGGTATTTTTGACATAGTTTGTACTGTCTGTACTGTTTGTACTGTGAGTGTGCACTTGTGCTACATCGAAAGTATACAGTAAGTACGTAGCCATGCTTTTTACATGCACCGTTGCAAAAACACCGTACTCCAACTACCCGATCAGGTTCTCAGGAGCAAATTGCTACCCGAATACCCGATCTAATCACGGGCAGCACGGGTACTCTACTACCCGATGACGGCCCTATTTTTTGTGTAAGTCTTGTTATATGTGATGGGAAGCCAGGAGCTACTGTTCAGATTTCTATTGACTCTAGGGGTGAAACGAACATGGATTTCTCCTTAAGGCGAGACAAAAAAAAATAGAGATTCCCGGGCCCTCCCGCACCAAAATCGAGCCGAAGGCAATTTTTTTTGAACAGTTCGTATTTTGTACAGTACTGGTCGTGCGAGTAGATCTGTAGTCCATCAGCCAGTGGTGCCAAAGTGAGTCCCCTGTTGCACTTACAAATCGAACACCTGGAACTGACATCAATCGACAGCAAAAGCATCACTGAATCCGACCTGCCTACTTTCCCTGGCGAAACTCTTGCACTCCTTTTGCAGTGCGCCTTGGAAGTTCGACAAATTTCTTCTTCTTCGTCAGCCATTACGAGGTTTTCCATCCGTTTTATTAGGACATCCAATGCGTCTTCAGTGAAAAACGTGGAGTTTTGTCAACGTTTGGTGTGGTTTTCCGTGGCGATCGACCTAAAATCGCGAAATAAATCACCGTCGATTTGAGCAGAGGTGAGTTGGCTTGGAGCACGTACAGATTCAAATAATATGCATACATGCGCACCGGGAAGAAGATGAAGATGCTCACCATTTTCAAATACAGTCAGACCTCGCTTATCCGGTCCTCGTTTATCCGGATCCCTCGCCATCCGGAAGAAAATCGCTGGTTACCGATGTGCAGCATATGTTATGTATACAACATAACCGGATCTCGCGATCCGCATACCGGTGCATGATTTTGTGTACAAACTGGTTAAAATGTGTACAAAAAGCTTCGTCGTATCCGGTTTCATGTGGCTTGCAGAAGCTAGAACCAAGGAGTTGTACAGGCAAATGAGGTCCTTGACCTGCTGGGTGCATGTGGACAGCACTCAGTTGCATGCACTTGTCATCTTTCTCGCTTGTTCTACATACTGTGCACCCTAGTTGTACTGCATAGGACCCGTCTACATGTATGTACGATGTCACTGCTTTTGACATGCCACATGCATATACAGTATGTGTGTTCAGTTATCCGGTTCCCTCGCCTATCCGGACTGTATTTTTGTGGAAAAGAGATGTGTGCGGTTAAGCGAGGTCTGACTGTACATGTATATGTAACTAGTGGTCAAACGAATGCTGAGAAGCTTCGAACGTTCGTTCTCGAGTCGATATTCGAATGTCAAGTTGACCGCCCAAACGAATATCGTAACTCACAAAGCTGTGAACTCTGCACTCGTAGCAGCGATTTTCATGCATGCAAGCACGTACACACGTCTACTTTTGAAGCCGTGCCGCGCTGTCTTCATGACTGTACATGTACATATGTATGCATGCCATGTCATGTAACTAGTAGCTGGCGCGAGGTGTGAAAGTAAGTAACGTTAGTTGTACATGTACAAGGCCGGATGTTTGTGGTCCGATCACGAACTGGCCCAGACTCGAGTCGGTGTGCGCGCGCGCGCGAACCATGTGAACTGTGCTGTGGACTGGGTGGACTGCGTGCACTGCACTGGTACGGGTGCTCAACTGATTACTTCCTCAAGATCGTAGACTACGGTAGGTCTAGTCTGCGCAGTGAACTCTAGTCTGGGTTGAACGTTGCATGCGTGCACCGCGTCCGGCTGTGAAACTGGAAGTGCAGTGCCACAGGCGATTTTAGTCGTGACAACACTCGACGGTCTGTCTGAAATAATAAGTATTGCTGAGAGCAGTCGTTGAGTCTTTCTTCATCAAATCCACCCAACGTTCGTCATGGCCGAGAAGAGTAGGCGCTCTGCCGTATGGGATTTCGGAATAGAGAAAACGGCTGACAATATTATCTTTATTCTCACGACAATATTGCTACGTGTACTCGGTTCAAGCCGCCGAAAGACTTGGCAGATCATGGCGGAACAACGAATTTACGTAACCATCTGAAGGACGTTCACCATGTCGACTTGGTTGGCGCAGGGGCGAAACCGAAAAAGGACGGAGGGATAACTGCCTTCTTCAAGGCAAAGAAAGTGCCAGCGGCTAGATCCTCTGAGGCTCTGGATGCGACGACCGATTGGTGGAATTTGTGTGCAGAGATCTTTGGCCTGTGAGCGTAGTCACTGGTGCGGGGGTTCCTTTCTCTCATGAACTACCCCGAGCCTGGCTACCTGCGACTCAAGTGACAAAGCTAATTCAGCGGAAGCACGTCGCGGGCCTGAAGTTGCTGGTGCAGTGGTGGAGAACCTTGAAAAGGCCAGCTCCATGGTGCTGACTACAGACCTGTGGACAAGCAGACGAATGGAGGGGTACATCACCATCACTGTCCACTTCATAAATGAGTCATGGCATCTACAGTCTCTAGAGAGGTTGTGCATAACGAAAATTCGTAACTTAGACGTAGTCTGGGCACGAGTAACGAAAAAGGAAAGGAACTTTCGCGAGGATGATCGCGAAACTTGAAGATCTTACGTTTTGAACTTTCGCTTCTTTCTCGCAAGCTTCTGTATACATGTAGCTGTGTTGATGCACGTGGTGTCAAGATTTTTTTCGCCATGGCCTTTTCAAGTCGTTCTGCGAGTTCTTCCTACTGGGCATCCTGTGGAGCTGATGGATCTCTTTCCCCCTCTCTCAGCGATCCTCTGTCACCTGGACAGCGCTCGGCTAGTTCTGTCAGATCTGGAAGTCCTGTCAGTGCTCGCCCTGTGACAAAATTATTCTGCTGAATCCTCGCAGCAGAATTCTGCCACTTCGGCGTCTTCGTCTTCCCCTGCGACGTCTCAGCCGCTGAGCGAAGGACATTGGATCTCGCGATGGACCTGGCCCTTCTCAGGCAGCTTCGTTCTCACGACCAACCGTTTCGACGATCGTACGAGGGTCTCCAGCGATGGAGATCGTTGCCTATGAGCTGGAAAACTTGAGCCCAACAGTTCGGTGGTGTGCCTACACGTGGGCCGGAGTACACACTTGATCCAAAAAAATTGTTCACCACGCGCGCAAACAGCGGAAAAAGTACTCGAAAGGGACACTACGTTTTTCGTTGAGCACAACAGATTTTCTTTACGAATTTTCGTCACTTCCAGATGGCTCAGATTCCGAAAGATCTTTACGAATTTTCGTTATGCACAACCTCTCTTCTGTTGCAGACTTGCAGTGTGCAACTTCACTTATGATTTGGGTGCCTTTTACAAAAGTTTTAGTGTTACATACTGGTTGGTAGCTATAATTTCTTACTGATTTCTTAATCATGGAACGGGCGACATTCGTTCGGTATTCGTTAGGAACATTCAGAGAAGGTTCGATTCGCTGTTTAGCACATTCGTTTGACCACTATATGTAACTAAGTCAAAAACTACATGTGACTATTGTACTGCAATTGTTGTAGTAACTTGTTTGCAACTACAATGGTATCAAGTAGATAATCAAGCGAGGTACAGAGGGATTGATGGCTGATCAAAGCCCAAGGGACCAGCCTGAGGGCTTTGATCAGTCATCAAGCCTGACTGTACCTTGCTTGAATATGCTTCAGACGATCCCCAACATTTTTTTTGATTTTGAATTCAATCGCTTTATTCTTTGGATGATCTCGAGTGTGGTAGATAGTAGTACACCTGTAACTGTACTACTCGTGACCTGGTTGCAACAAGCTCAAAGCAGCCTTGCCTTTATTTCAACTGTTTGCTGTCAGCATCCAGAGCCATGGCGTTTGCTAGTGGGTCGTAATGGAGAAGAGAACTGCAGGGCATTCACTCGATGTACAACATCCATCGCCGCAGATTCCTTACTTTTAGCTCTCCACGTTCCTTATTTTTCCAGGGATCAGGACCTTCCCGGGGTGATTTCATTCAGGGTGGAAGCGTAGATCACTTTTGCCAAACAGTAAAAACTACGCTTCAAACCTGCTTGACATGACTAGGGGTGCATACTTCGGAAACCCGAAGGTGGATGATGTTCAATACTAGCTCATTGTAATCTTCCTGAAGGTACATGTACATGTATGTATTCGAATGCTCAATTAAATAGAACAGTGAAAGAGATGTGTAATGGAACAACACTCTACAAGTAGGCGAACAACAATTTTATTGTAATTTGAATCCAGGCACACGTGTAATACGGAAACTGCAATGGTTTACACGGCAAATCTTCTCGATTTTCAAGATTTTGCCCGTAATTCACAAAAATCTGAACGTTCATTCCTGAAACGCGCATGGCACCGATTGGAGATTGTGTTTAGGTCACAACAATGGCTGTCGATGAAATGTCAAAAATGGTCACTTTGTCGGCTTCCCCCTGCAGAGCGTGCAAGTCGTTTACTCTTTTTATTTGCGGATTCGGTGTGCAGCGTACCTAAACTCCCCATTGAGGCCAAAATCAAGTATTCGATTTCAAAGTGCAACAGGGTGCTTGAATTTGACGACTTCTGAGTTCTTGGCTGATGGACTACTGTGACATGGTGTCACATAAACCTGGGCTTGTACGACTCCCTGGTGTAGGACTCAGGGCTGTCGTTGGCTGAAATACAAAAGAAATCGTACGGGTACCGGTAAACCACGTCCCTGTCGTCTGTAAAAAAAAAATACCGGAAAATACTGTAAAAAAAGCTCAACATGCCATGCATACACACATAGGAAAAATAAAAATTCGCCCGCCCGCACCAATTTCAGATGGGTCCTGCCCGGGAATCTCGATTTTATTTTGGTCTCGCCTAACGAACCTTCTTTATCATAACGAACGAAGATGCGAATATGTTCTTTAAGAGGCTTCAATTTCATGATTTGCTGTCCGGGCTTTATTGAATGATGCACAAGAAAATTGAAGCAATACTGTACCAGCTATGGTCGACATTCATCAGTTGCCACCCCAACCTCCCCTCCCCATGCCGCACATGGAACTGATATGATCTCATACAGGTGCAAGCGCTTAGATGAAGTGCATCCGTGTGCGTGTAACGAGTCTAACCACTACACAGCAATGCGAAAGGACAGCACTTTTTCAAGTCCTGCCCTTTTTTCATGCATATAGTACCCTTTTTTTGAATATCCTGCAGTTGAATGCGTGTGTGCTCCTCATTCGCTTCGCTTGTTCCTCTTTTCTTTTGTTCGTTTGGCTTATGCGAAGGCTAGCCAAGCTTGCTTGGTGATTTCAATGCGAACAAGCATAATGATAATGATGATGATATAGTACCCATTTTCCATACAGAACGAATCATTCGAATATTCGTTTAGCTAAACGGACATGAAGAACATAATCCTTATCGAAGGTTAACGAATATGCGGTATATTTATTTCAGCAATGCTGGTGTAGCGTTAGGAAAGAAACAAAGCTTGGAGTCAGTTATCTATCTGTCTTTGTTCAGTTGGCTGTGCTTGATGGAGAGTACTGGGGTTGAATGTTTTTTTCTTTTTTGTTGTGTTTTGCCAATCGTTAGTTTGAGAAGGTGTCTAAGATCAAGAGAGACCGAGGAAATCTTCCCATTGCAAATTACAAAGAAGAGATTGTTCAAGCCATCAGAAATCACAATGTGGTGGTGGTTGCTGGAGATACTGGCTGTGGAAAATCTACACAAGTAAGTAGTACGAAATTATCATAACCCCCCCCCCCCCCTTCTTATCCTGATGTGTACAGTAGTAAAGTAAGCATGTGTATGGGTTATGTACACTAGGATAGTCCGTGCCTCACCAGTATTACAAACACACACACACACACATTCCCCGTGGAGCCATTGTCGAACACTGTACGTTTGGGAAATAGCCTGCCTGCCATTGCCAGATTCTGATAGAAACAACAGGAGTACTCTCCAGAGCTGTTCACAGAGGATGTCATCTAACAGCTCTGGCATGTACTAGTAGTAGCTGGCAAAGATATCAGTTATCCATGTGACCAGTTTAGTGCATGACTGTACTAATCTAGGAATGTGAGTGGTGTGTTGAGCAGGTGGTTTCCTTGTGTATATATTTACAGGTCCCTCAGTTTCTTATGGAATCTGGATTTGAACACATTGCATGCACACAACCGAGAAGAATTGCTTGCATATCATTGGCGAAGCGTGTTTCATTCGAGACCCTCAATGAATATGGCTCTCAAGTTGCATACAAGGTAAGGATGATTGCTGATGCTGAGGTTGATATAGGCATTAGGGGCCTTGCAAGGTTACCAATAGTATTTTCAAAACGAAAAGTTTTCGTTTGGGGGTGGGTGAGTTTGAAGGAGTTTCGTTTTGAAAATAATTATTGAATGCAGATGGAGAGTGCCCAGGTATTTCTGGGTGTCGAAAATTGACATCAATATTCTATTGGAATACATTTTACCTGCAGAAAAGGTGGGTGGGTGGGTGGGTGCTGAAAAATACTAAAGCTTTTCGTTTTGCAAAAACTATTGGTAACCCCGGACGGCCCCTTAGGTAAGTAAGGAGAACTTGTCATTATATGCTGCATTTGATGGGTAAAGCTAGTCGAAAGGATTTACGCTCTGCGTAGCCCTGGGCAGCCTAATCCCGTGTGATTTGTTGGAAACTGCGCATCACCTCGCGTATAGTCGCTCTTCACGGGTCGAAAGTCTTGAAAAAAAAGAATGCATAATTTGACCGAGGAGTCAGGACTGTGGAAGTCAATATCCGTGGCCTTCACGTAGTCTTCTGCATACAGACGAGATGTACCAGGCGCGTACGCAGGGGGGGGGGGGGGGGGGGTTCCCGTTGCCCGGAAACCCCCCAAATGTTCGGAACGAGCAACGTTTTTGGGCATATTTTGGTAGGGCGCACAATCGATCTGGCAAGAATGCAAAACTTCAAGAGATCGTAACTCAGTCAAATCTGGCTCAAATCCAACGATCCAAATATCCAGGTCGAAAAGAAAACTCTCAGCTGTCGGTTGAAACAATTTGCGACGCGCTGCGAGCAATGTCTCTTGAGATAAATCGTTCGTAAGTTGAGCCGCGATCTCGCAATTTCAAAAGCGCGCAGTGCGACTCGAGTATCGAGAATTTGAGACTTTCGTCACGCTGATTTGCTCAAATTTGCAGGGGCTTCACTTGTGACATTTTCAAGAGTACACTGCAAACAAATCGAAACTCTGCGATCAAGAAAAACGAAATCGCTGGAGCAGGACGCTTTTGGGCCTTTGGCCCAGTTTGGGGCATTTTTTCGCACCGTCGCTGCACTCTACCGCTATAGCATATGAGCCGCGCCAAGCTAAAAAGTGGCTTCGTGTTTTGCCAACAAATCGAGAAAATCACCAAAACGTCACAGTTGGCAAAATTCTACTCGAGCGCGATCGCGAAAATATTCACTTTCAAGTTTGCAAGCGGATGAAGAGGGAAGCCTTTTTATGTTTGAGCAACAATTCTTCAGTGTTCCCTCTTTCATCGTTGCGGGGATTCATCAGCGCTGCCAGAGATCGTAATGGAGCTTCTAGAGAATGTGGAGGCGAGCAGGATGGCATTCTGTATCCCTGTGCGCCCAAACCTACTTGACGAGGAAGAGTCGCTCATTCTTAGTGGCTGTGTTTCTTATCGTGGCCACGACTAGAGCGGCTATGGGGAGATGTCTACAAGCCTTCCGACTATCATTCTGACAAGCGGCCTGGTGAGTTGGCTCTTGCTGCGATGTTTCACTTTGTTTCGGCTACCTTCAATTTAGTGTTCATGACGTGGCGTACTGGATTCCAAAATTTCCTCGTTTCAAGGAAATAGTGCCACACGGCGAAGCGATGCATTGACTCTATCTGCTAGCATATTGTCCCGTGGCGCCTTCTACCAGTAAGTATCCTTGGCAGGGAAGGAGAAGGACATGGACTAGTACGGACAAAGAACCAGTGACGCTTGTTAGCGATGTGCAGTCTACTGGACCTACATGTATATGTAGGTGCGAGGGCAGTACACCAATGGAGCTAGATCTCTGGCACAGCACTACGAGCTACATGAAAGGATTAATTCATCCTGCTGGCATAGGTGATTGAAGAGAGTATGATGGACTTTCTTGGTAAGATGCGACGTTCCCCAACCCAGCGAAAAATATAGTCACAACATCATGATGAAGGATATCAAAATTCGTCTTGCATGATAAAAATGAGTCATGATGAAAATTTTATGTAGATCTGTTATTTATTCTTTCTTGGATCTTCTAATTAGAACACAAGTACTAATTCTTCTTGTATTACTTGCACACCTGCTAAGCTTTGTCTCCACTTGGTGTCCCATGTTTTCTTAGAGTTTGGGAAGGTCTTGGAATCCTTAGTGTCATTGAAACCATTCTGTGACATGTGCACAATGTATGCTTATTTATGGCACATATACATTTCAGATGGGCATCAAAATTTCCATGATGGAAGTTGGATATATAGACATCACTTTGGCATGAAAAAAGAAATTTCCAAAAATTATGCCTAAGCCACCTTTTAGCTTGGCTCGGCTCATATAGCACTGGATATGTACATGGCTGTACTGTGTCCTGGCTATCATGTTCGACCTCATTCTCTCCCTGGCACCTTTCCACTTCCAGGAAGCCTAAGATAATGAAGATTGAGTGAGTAGAACTGGTTATGATCCAAAGAACACGAAAAAATGCATAATTTTGAAAATTTCCTAGGGCTCTTTAGAAAGGGTTAAACGAGTCATTGTTTGTGATTCGGTTGGAAACCCCCCTAGAGGTGACCCTGCGTACGCGCCTGTGTACTCCTATGACGTGATGTGGAGGGTGTGCTGCTGTTTGCATAACGCCTCAAGGCTAGATACAGGTCTGGCCAAGATAAGGTTTCATGGTGATTTTCAAACAGACCATCATGTCTTTGTAATTGTCTGGTTCTGCTCAGATTCGTTTTGAAAGCACCACAACACGGGCGAGCAAGATCATCTTTCTGACTGAAGGTTTGTTCTGTCATAATTATATTTTTTATTTACTGTAGCGTTAGTGCATCGCAGGGAGCGTCCTATGGCTTGTTAGTGTCCGGCAAGTTAGCCCGAGGGCCGTAGGCGTAAGGGTTAATGTGGAGAGCGGCATGCGCCAGCTTGGAAGAGCTGCGGCCGCGGCACATGATTGACTATCTTTTTGGTTTCTGCGATACCCTAATGCAGTGCGTTGTATATACTTGTGCAGTTTGTACTGCACGTGTGCCCAGCCTAGTAAGTTATACTCCATTGATGTACGACACCCAGCGTAGTAAGTTATACTCCATTGATGTACGACACCCAGCGTAGTAAGTTATACTCCATTGATGTACGACACCCAGCGTAGTAAGTTATACTCCATTGATGTACGACACCCAGCGTAGTAAGTTATACTCCATTGATGTACGACACCCAGCGTAGTAAGTTATACTCCATTGATGTACGACACCCAGCGTAGTAAGTTATACTCCATTGATGTACGACACCCAGCGTAGTAAGTTATACTCCATTGATGTACGGCACCCAGCGTAGTAAGTTATACTCCATTGATGTACGACACCCAGCGTAGTAAGTTATACTCCATTGATGTACGGCACCCAGCGTAGTAAGTTATACTCCATTGATGTACGACACCCAGCGTAGTAAGTTATACTCCATTGATGTACGACACCCAGCCTAGTAAGTTATACTCCATTGATGTACGGCACCCAGCGTAGTAAGTTATACTCCATTGATGTACGACACCCAGCGTAGTAAGTTATACTCCATTGATGTACGACACCCAGCGTAGTAAGTTATACTCCATTGATGTACGACACCCAGCGTAGTAAGTTATACTCCATTGATGTACGACACCCAGCGTAGTAAGTTATACTCCATTGATGTACGGCACCCAGCGTAGTAAGTTATACTCCATTGATGTACGGCACCCAGCGTAGTAAGTTATACTCCATTGATGTACGGCACCCAGCGTAGTAAGTTATACTCCATTGATGTACGGCACCCAGCGTAGTAAGTTATACTCCATTGATGTACGACACCCAGCGTAGTAAGTTATACTCCATTGATGTACGACACCCAGCGTAGTAAGTTATACTCCATTGATGTACGGCACCCAGCGTAGTAAGTTATACTCCATTGATGTACGGCACCCAGCGTAGTAAGTTATACTCCATTGATGTACGACACCCAGCCTAGTAAACTACACGACTACTCCATTGATGTGTGTATTTTGGGCGATATTTGGAATTCTCTGGAAAAAAATTGCTTAGAAGAAAAATTCGCACCATGTGGCCAGCCTTGGCGGTGAAGGGTGTCCAATTTGGGCGAAAATTATTTGGCAGCATTGCGTACGTGACATACATTTCCTTGTCACAAGTGGCGCACGTCGCTTAGCAGAAACTGATATTGTGAATCGTACTGAACTGTACAGGAGGCAATTACTTTGCTTTTGTTGTTATTGATAATACGGATAACCCAAAAGCAATGGTGGCTAAATCAAGGGGTGGCTCCGGACCAAACATAGAGCAAAGAGCTCAGCCGGCAGAAAACGTCAGAAAATTTAGTTGTACACTGTACATTTTCTGTTGGATTCAGGATCTTCACAGTATGAAAGCGTACACGAAGGTGTACATACTGTTACTATTCAACAAGCTTTAACCACTGATACGGCCATAGGCGAGAACTTCACTGATTGGTCATCTCCAAGACAACGAGATTGACCTGATTCTAATACTGGACTAAACGTTCAATGCTACTTCCAGTATTACTACAGCGTCCTAGTGGATGTTCCTCCCTTTCCTTTCTGTAGCTCTCCCTTTCCTTTCTGTAGCTCTCCCTTTCCTTTCTGTAGCTCTCCCTTTCCTTTCTGTAGCTCTCCCTTCCCCACACTCATCATGGCACCTGTGTTCATCATGTGTGTTCATCATGCGTGCGTATGTGTGTGTGTGTGCGTGTGTGTGTGTGTGTGTGTATATGTGTGTGGGTGCGTGTGTGTGTGTGTGTGTGTGTGTGTGTGTCTTTGCGTGCGCACGTGCGTTCATGTGTGCATGTGCGTTCATGTGTGTGCTATGTGATATAGGTCTGTTGTTACGGCAGATCTCAAGTGATGCAGCACTATCTATGTACAATGTCATTATTGTTGATGAGGTAAGCAACCCATGTACAGTGTACAGTGTAGGTAAGCAACCCATGTACAGTGTACAGTGTACAGTGTACAGTGTAGGTAAGTAACCCATGTACAGTGTACAGTGTACAGTGTAGGTAAGCAACCCATGTACAGTGTACAGTGTAGAGTGTAGGTAAGCAACCCATGTACAGTGTACAGTGTAGAGTGTAGGTAAGCAACCCATGTACAGTGTACAGTGTAGAGTGTAGGTAAGCAACCCATGTACAGTGTACAGTGTAGAGTGTAGGTAAGCAACCCATGTACAGTGTACAGTGTAGAGTGTAGGTAAGCAACCCATGTACAGTGTACAGTGTACAGTGTAGGTAAGCAACCCCAGGGCATAGCTTAAGGATTTCATTTAGCTCGGACAAATGTCCTTCCGTTTTGAAATCTGTCCGGACATGCCCGGACATTTTCCACAACAGATTTTCAGGGTGTTTCTTCTTTTTTTTTAGTAGTACTGGAGTATATTCACAATGACTCATTATGTGGACGTATCTCACACATTACTATGTACAATTCGCCAATTTATTTGTATTAGAAACTGAACTATTTACTGACGACAAATGTATGTACAAAAAAGCGTTGCAGTCAAGAATTTTGCGAACGCGATATGCTCCTTGCAGAGAAGGTAGGTCAGTTCGAATTTGCGTCGTGCAATAGCGGCAGCACCATCGTCCATCTCGCACAGTGCCTTCGCAATTGGAGCGAATTCGAGGGAATTTCGAGCGGGACACTCTTGCCTGCGGAAAAGATTCATTCCTCGTTTATGCATCTCCGTTCCAGCATGATCCTTGAACGCTGATGTTCTCAGGTTCTTGAATCCGGTTATGAAAGCCTCGCTGAAGTTTTTACAACTGCGGACTCTGTCTACAAACTTGATGCACACGGAACACTTCAAACATTCTGCTAACAGCCGATCGTTCTTCTGCCTGTCATAAATCAGCCAGGCGGAAGTAGTCAGCTCTGCATCATTGTCCGAGATCCACTTATCGCAAGTAGCGGCCTTCACACCACGGACTTTTTTGCCCGGCGGCAAGTCCTCTGAATCTCCCTTTCGCTTTCCAGAAGACATTCTAAAAGACTATCTGCATTCCTGGTCAGTGAAAGAGTGAAAAATAAAAGATGACATCTTCCTCCCAAGAGCGAACAACTGCACTGCAGTGCAGTTCAACCCATCGATTCAGGTGCGAAGTCGACACCATGTACCAAAGCCTGGCAAAGGTCGAACGAAGGTCGAACGTGTGAATTGACTGTAGCAACCGCGTTGCTACAGGCGGATTATGGTGAAGTCTACGCCTGAGGGATCGAGGCTACGGTGTAGACGTGTTAGTTGTACGATATGCAAGTCGCATTTGGCACGAAGCTCCGAAGAAAGCCCAACTCTGCATAAAAAGGTCGAAAGGTCGCTGCTCTTTTTTTCCTTTTTTGACGGGACACTATGTCCGGTGAAATTGAAAACGTCCGGTCAGTGGCCGAAAATGGCCGGAAAATGTCCGATGTCCGGCCGTTAATCTATGCCCTGAACCCATGTACAGTGTACAGTGTAGAGTGTAGGTAAGTAACCCATGTACAGTGTACAGTGTACAGTGTAGGTAAGCAACCCATGTACAGTGTACAGTGTACAGTGTACAGTGTACAGTGTACAATACTGCTACTTGTTACAACGGACTACTACTATACGAGACCTGTGGGTGGTTTTTGATGCGTCATGAGTACAATTTGCCTGTGTGCAGGTGTTTCGCACTTCAAAAACCTACTGAAGTACCGTAATTATTAATTATGGATCCGCCCTTCAAAAACCTACCATATTAATTAGGGATTTTCCCTCCAGCTGCCTTCTATGTACATTACGTTCGCCTGAGCTGTCTCCCATAATTATGTGATTTCCCTGCAGTCACCTGATAAAGGCGCACCTGAGTACGGTGCACCCCCCCCCCCCTTTTTGACTAACGTTTTGGCAATTCAAGGTATATCCGGAGTATAATGTGCACTGCAGGCTAGATTTGAGAAAATTATTAAATACATACAGATTTGTGACGTTACGGCACGGCCCGAAATGGACAATTTCAAAGTGATATACAGTGGAGATCGGATATAACGACCTTGCTTATAACGACAGAGTGAGTTTAGCGACACAATTCTGTTGCCCAAGTCGTTTAGTAAGTCCTTTGTGAAGATCGGGTTTAGTGACAGATCGAATATGGTGACATTTTGTTCTCTCCCGAAGGAGTGTCGTTATATCCAATCTCCACTGTATTTCAAGAACGCTTGGTCGGATCGAAGTGGGACCTTCACCAATCGACTCAGCGCCCAAAACTCTACGGACCCTGAAATTTTGATTTTTGGGGGAAGACAGTTTTATAGTGCGACCATGTACAAAATTATCAATAATGCATGTGCTGCTAGAGTATGGGGTCTCGTGCCCATCATGCATTTTCAATGTAGCTGGCAGTTGACACTAAAATACATGCATGTGGCTTGCGACGGTTCAGAGGTGGCAAACTTTGCAACAGTTTGATGCATTGCAATGCTTTTGCATTCTCTTATTCAGAGCACAGTGGGCACCCACGATTTTGAGTCTAAAATTGCGAATCTAAAGTGCGCACTATACTCCGGCAAATACAGTAAAAAGAAATCCATCTATCCAGATCATTTCTCATCTCATTGCTTTGATTGTGCTCCAGGTACATGAACGTCATATTCATGGGGACTTTCTCCTGGGAGTCTTGAAGTGTTTACTCCAAAGCCGCTCTGATCTCAAGCTAGTGCTGATGTCTGCCACCATCAATATCGAGTAAGATGCATTTTTCTTTCATTGTTTCATAGTCACATTATTTTGAAGTTTAATAATTCCTCTCCCTGCTTCTGTTTACAAAGTATCAAGAAGCATGCTCATGTCTGAGAAGTTTGTACGCCCACAGTGTAATGACGTGGTCGGGCAAGTGAGTTTCTCCAGGTAGAGGGTGAGAGAGATGATGAATAACCTTGCTCTCTTCTTCACCACCTACAGTTTACTTGGCTGACTCATGATCTCCAGGGCATGGCAGAAACATCAAGCATTATTCCTCATCGTTGTACCACATTCCTGTACAGTCATGTACACTCATGTACATGTGTATCTGCCATGCTGAGTACGGTAGGCTGTATAATCTCTGTCTTGTATTCCAGCAGTGATGAGTGAAGCTGGCAACCAGCTTCTCGTGTTTTCTTCGGTGCATTGTGTGTGTGTGTGTGTGTGTGTGTGTGTGTGTATGTGTGTATGTGCGTGTGTGTGTGTGTGTGTGTGTGTACGTGCGTGCGTGTGCGTGCATGTGTGTGTGTGTGTGTGTGTGTGTGTGCTTGTTTGTGTACGTGTTTGCAGTTTGTTCAGTGGTTATTTTGACAATTGTCCCGTCATCAAAGTACCAGGACGTCTGTATCCCATTGAACTGGAGTATGTACCTGTGGAACACACCAGTAACCCCAAAGAGGTACAGTTGAATGTCACTTAGCCGAATGCTTTGGGAATGGGCCTTGTTGGGTAACTGATACCATTTATGTGTGTACAAATTGTACATGTACTACAGTGCTGGCAACTGAAATCTGCCCAGGGAGTCGGATTTCAGTTGCCAGCATTGTACATGTACATATTACTACATAGTACATAGTGTATTACTACATAGTGTATTACTACATAGTGTATTACTACATAGTGTATTACTACATAGTGTATTACTACATAGTGTATTACTACATAGTGTATTACTACATAGTGTATTACTACATAGTGTATTACTACATAGTGTATTACTACATAGTGTATTACTACATAGTGTATGATTTACGGACTTATGCTCCTGTCCCTGTACAAAGAAGATGGAGTAAGATCAATAATTATTTTCACAATTGGGTACGCATGATGATCGTTGCAAAGTGGCATGAAGCATCTACGGCTGAGAAAATAATTCAGTGATCGGACATTGTACCGAAGAACTACACTACTTGCAGCACATGAGAGGGAGAGAGATGGTGCCACTGCGCATGAGAGGGAGAGAGATGGTGCCACTGCACATGAGAGAGAGAGAGATGGTGCCACTGCACATGAGAGGGAGAGAGATGGTGCCACTGGCATTTGCACAGTACATGAGAGGGAGAGAGATGGTACCACTGACATTTGCACAGCACATGAGAGGGAGAGAGATGGTGCTACTTGCATTTGCACAGCACATGAGAGGGAGAGAGATGGTGCCACTGGCATTTGCACAGGCCATCCATTTGCTGCTCCGTGTCGTCGTTGTCATCGCATCGACAAGAAGTTTTTTTGTCTTGTATTATTACTAATGGTGTAGCTCTCAGCTACGGATAAGATGTAACAGGGAGCATACTAGCTCCACTCGACACTACAAATCAAACACCTTCTTTCTGGACTAACCAAGATCTGAGGGGAAACCCTCGTCGTGGCCAGCGTTATATTTTCAGAATAAAATGTAGGGAGTCGTATTCGACTCCCTGCCGTATTCGGAGTACGGTGTAAGAGGTAGAATAAGGATGTGTAGTTGGATGGCAAATGAAGTGTGTTCCTAAAGGTGGATAGTGTGTAGAGTACTAGCTGTTCATGATACATGAATAATAATAATAATAATGTAGAAAGGAAAAGGACATAAGGATACGAGTTAAGAGTAACTGTCCATCACTGTAACTGGATACTATATACAGTCAGAAAGTGCAATAACTAGGCACACAACTGACAAGAGTACTGAGACATTCGACGTCCTGACACCTAGCTTCAACACATCTCCGTACCGCTAACCGACAGCCTTCCAACTTGGAAGGTCCAAGGTTATGGACAGACCAAAGAGGGGAAGGCAAGCTCAACGAAAACGAGCAAAAGCTACAGTCCCAACGGAACAAAGAATGTCGATTGTTACTGGACGATGACGAGACCAGTACGATATTTTACAAAGCGGTCTAACTACAATTCGAAGCAGCAAAGCAGCACACCACCCAACTTGGGTGGGTCATAAATATCAAAGTTAAGTAAAGAAAGGGGAAGCTTTGCGAAAACGAATTGTACAAGCCGAAAGCCAAACTCCTACAGTACTCCTCATGCATGACATTGTGATGGACTAGTTGACTACAAAACAAGTTGATTAACACGACGTACGTTTCGGCGTATTTTTGCTATTTTTCGTATTTTTCGTATTTTTTGCTCGTTTTCGTTGCGCTTGCCTTCCCCTCTTTGGTCTGTCCATAACCTTGGACCTTCCAAGTTGGAAGGCTGTCGGTTAGCGGTACGGAGATGTGTTGAAACTAGGTGTCAGGACGTTGAATGTCTCAGTACTCTTGTCAGTTGTGTGCCTAGTTATTGCACTTTCTGACTGTAAATAGTATCCAGTTACAGTGATGGAGAGTTACTCTTAACTCGTATCCTTATGTCCTTTTCCTTTCTACATTTATTTATGGCTCAACATCCGAGTTTCAAATAATAATAATAATAAATATAAGTTTCCGTGCATGGCACGGTAAGTGAAGTTAGCAACCCACCAACAATTACATTCCTAACATAATTTGCACGTACTTGCCATAGCGCATCACGTGCCCGTGCAGAACACGCACTCCGAACTCCCGCGCCCCGGCACGGGACCACGCGGAGCATGCGCATTACTCCGGCTCTCGATGCTGTTTCTTCTTCATCCTTGCTGCGCCAACAGTCAGATCGCTTGACAACCTTGACCAGTTTTTGCAGTTTTTGTTTGAGCTTGAGCATTTTGAGCATTGAGCACTCTCCATTTCCGAGCAACCATGTCTGAATCTCTGTCAATGAACGACGCCAAGAAAATGCGCTCTGTAGAGCTGCGACAAGAACTGGCGGCCCGCAATTTAGACACGACGGGGACCAAACCCAGGCTGCTGACTCGCCTGCTCGAGTCATTGGAGTTCACTGCAGCGCGCGAGGACTTGGCCACTCAGGCAGCCGAGCAGAACCTACCCCAGGCAACTGCTGCTCCGTCCCTGAGGGACATTATCCGGGAGGAGGTCCGTGCTGCCCTTGGAAATCAGGCCGCAGCTCCAGCCCCGCCGGCAGCTCACACAGCGGCACCCCCACCGCCAGCTCACGCAGCGGCACTCCCACGGCAAGCACCAGCAACTCCGCAGGACGCTCTGCCTGCTCCGCATTTGGCGGCTGCCGTCTCACCGCCAATGAACCCCGCAGGTAAGAGAACGTTTTATGCAACCGTGCCGAAAGCCATTCACGATAAAGTAGTAACTGGCCAATTTGTTGAATTGGGCTCATTGTTGCCTAACCCGTCCCAAGGGGACACTAGCCGCAGCATTCTCCAGATCGACCACGACAGCTCGCACGGCGCAGTGGTCCTAGCACCGGCCAACAGGCCCTCCAGGAAGGTCGAGGACATCGACACCTGGCTTGACGCCTGGACAACATACTGCGCGATTTACGCCACAGCACCCCCCCCCCCCCCCCCCCCCCCCAGGGCCCCAGAGCTGTTTGCGTACCAGCAGATTATCCTGAAAGTAGCCCGGAAATTTCGATTCGAGGCCGTGCAGGAGTATGACCGATCATTCCGCTCACTCCTGGCCGCGGACCCAACCATGCGGTGGGACGCAATAGTCCAGGACCTATACACAATTATATTTGACGCGCGGGCATTTCGTCCCTTTCGGCCCACCGGCAGCAACGACGCTCGTTCCTTTCGGCCCAACAGCAGCAACGACGCTCGTTCCCTTCGGCCCAGCAGCGGCAACGACACGGTCGACAAAGAAGTATGACGCCTCTTCAACCAAGGAAACTGCGTCCGCTCCAACTGCCGCTTCGCCCACAGCTGCCTCTCTTGCGGCCGCCTCGGTCATGGCCAATCCACATGCTCTGCTGGCCAACCCCGCAGCTCCAATTAGCTCACACGCGCCTTGGTCCCCTGTAAATATTCCCCTGCTGTTCGAAGAGCTATCCCAGCACCCCGATAACGATTTTGTGCATTCTCTCTGTCACGACATGCGCGTCGGGGCCCGCATTGGCTATCACGGTAATAGATCCCGCCTCATCGCCCCTAATCTCCCTTCCGCATTGCTCAACCCTGCCGCCGTCTCTGCTTACCTTCAGTCTGAATGCACGCGTGGCCACATGGCTGGGCCTTATTCCCAACCCCCATTCCCTAATATCCGATGTTCTGGCGTTGGCATCGTGCCCAAGAAGTCTGGCGGCGTACGCCTCATCATGCATTTATCTGCCCCTAGCGGCTCTAGCATTAACGATGGCATTTACCCTGACGAATTCTCCCTGCATTACGTTACGGTAGATGACGCAATACGCTGCATCTTCCAGCACGGCCCCGGAGCTCTCCTCTCTAAGGTTGACATGAAGCACGCCTTCCGGCTCTGCCCTGTTTCCCCTGACGACTGGCCCCTACTTGGCATTTTTTGGGAAGGTTCGTACTATGTCGATAAGGTACTACCATTTGGCCTCAGATCCTCCCCGTTTCTGTTCAACAGACTTGCCGACGCTGTGGCATGGATTGCAGTTAATAATTACGATATTGTTGATTTGCTGCATTACCTAGATGATTTCTTTCACGTCCAGCCGCCCAACTCCGCAGCTATGCTCAAATTCAAGACACTGCTGGCTGTATTTGACATGCTGAACATCCCATTGGCCGACGGAGAGGACAAAGTGTGCCCGCCGTCAACTTCAATAACGTTCCTGGGTATCGAGCTCGACACAGCCGCCTGGGAGCTGCGCCTCCCGGCTGCGAAACTGGCGGAACTACGGCTAGCACTTGCCGCGTGGCTGTCGAAGCAGATGTGCACCAAGAGGGAACTGCTGTCCCTGGCCGGTAGCCTGTCTTTCGCAGCCAAAGTCATTCCAGCGGGTCGCACGTTCTGCAGACGCCTGTTCGACAGCGCAGCAACGCTCCCCAGCCTAGATGCACCGGTAGCCGTACCCTCGGAGGCGAAGCTTGACATCCTGTGGTGGGACGCCTGCATCAGCCAATGGAATGGTCGGAAGCCCCTCATCGAGCCGTCCTGGAGCACAGCCGAAGACATCGGGCTGTACACCGACGCTTCAGGTCGACACGGTTTCGGTCTGGTTTTCGGCAGCAAGTGGTCCTATGGCGCATGGTCTCCTGACCAAGCTGAGCACACTATTGAATGGAAAGAATTGTACGCCGTGATGTTGGCCCTCTGTACCTGGGCACACACGTTGGAGGACAGACGAGTGCTACTCTACACTGACAACGAAGCAATCTGCTACATCTGGCGCTCTGGCACGTCCCCAAATAGAGCGGTCATGGACTTGGTCAGGGCCGGCTTATTGAAAGCCGCCCAGCACAACATTGTCCTCCTGCTTCGCCACATCGCCGGACACTGCAATGATCTTGCTGATTCCCTCTCCCGTCTGCAGGTACGGCGCTTTCGGACCCTCAACCCAACTGCCGACGCAACGCCTACACCACCAGCGCAGTCCACCCTCCATCAGTTGATGACGCAGCCATGGAGCTCATCCGTCACGGCCTGGCAGACAGCTCC